CTACCGATAAATGTCTGTTGGGGGATTTTGTCGGATTACCTACTGCGACTTAGTAGGGTTCGAGCGTCTCGGTAGAGTTCAAGCACTGTGAGATTATTTTCAAGAATCCGACCTGCCTGACATTGTTTCACTCGTCATTATTTGCGCTATCCGACAACTTGATATCCATCAAGCTCATCATCAACGCCCCGTTGACATCCCATCGATTATAGAAACGCTTGCAATCTAATTGCCCAGATAAAGGAACAAACCAGTGACCGTCCACACTACCTGATAAGGATCCACTCAGACATATTCCATCCATTGATGAGCTGGCGCTCACACCGTGGTACGTTTCAAGTATTCCTGTCGTTGACAATTGTGGTGACCCATGGATGGGTTCTCAATTAAACCAGTGTACACAGACTTTGCACCTAAGTACCAATTCTGCTAACATCTGAATGATTCGATCTGATGGCAATTAAACCAGTGTACACAGACTTTGCAACTAAGTACCAATTCTGATGAGATGAAATCACCTGACGATCTCCTCGGCTAAACCAGCATCCACACCGACGTCAGTGGCATGTGAGAGCACTCAAGAAATTAAGTCTTAAATTCCGCTCAAACGTTTGCATCTCCATGATGATAGCGACAAATCATTATATTGTTTAGGCGTACAATATTTTTTTGGTTTCCCGTACCACCGCACAATAATGTACCCGTTTTCTAACTATCTCGAAATTGTTACGAAACCGATCGCGCCTTCGAATCCAGTAACGCTTTTAAGGCGTCTTTGGTCACAAACCTGAATACACTTCATTGCTGTTTGCTGACGTTATGTCTTACAACCGTACGACAATATAGCTCGTACTGTAAGCCGGTATTCGTGACCCATGAGATCCGGTGACAATGATAACATTTTGACAACACGAATGACGAGTGATTGAAGTTCGCGCACTGAATTAATAATAATACTACTGCCAATACTACTGATGGTACTAACTTCTCCGGTGCTTCTTCTTGAATTCCAAGGAAAATGCTCAGAGATTGCATGTTCTTAAACATGAAGTTGCATAGTTAGGTCCATGGATAACGCTGACAAATGGTAGGATATTTTTGTCGATGCTGCTCTTCTATTCTTATTGTGCACGACCCGCCTTCTGCTGGTTCGATTTCGCGCCCATACAGTCTCTCCAGTTTATCACCTGAACGTAAAACACCCTTTCATTTTGTCGTCGCGCATGTAGTTTAAAGTTATTCGCAGGCTTTGCTATCTTGTTGCCAGTTGGCCTTGAACTGGTGTGGACTTTGGGATCCCGTTGGGAATCAGCAGATCCCAAACCAGTGTATAGAAGCCGGTGTTGCCTCACAATTTGAGGTTGTTAGTTTAATATTGCATTCGTAGTATCAGGTTCATTGATCAACGTCCATTTGAATGATTAGACGTTTTGAAATTTGCAAGTAACTCAACGTGGCCTAACCGATTGCTGGGTAAGGTCAATACGTTTTATAGCATGGGGTGAGCTCCACACTCTTGTTTGAGTTAGAAGATGGCACTGTCTGTGCACACCCTATCTACAAATTCCCCACCAAAAAGGCCCTTTTTTGGAGAACTTCTTGTGTTTGCCCCATTATTGCATCAGTGATGAATTCCAACAGGAGAGAACAGAGTGGACATTCCTGTCGGACACTATTTATTGAGAGCGCTCCATTTATTCCCGACCCCAGAATATTGTGAATATGGGAGCCGGATTATGTTCACAAATTTCTGAACCATTCGCCACTTAGAAACTGAGAGGATGGAAGGCACCCTGGAAGTCAAGGTACACACAAGACTGTGGGTCGTCTGTATAGATATGGGGTTGTCTGACTACCTGACGGAGTCTGAATACGTGGTCGACTCAGCCTCTACCCGGTTGACATCCCACTTGATGCTAACCGGTCAAGGGTTTGCGCACCGCCGTGAAACTAGTAAACAATAACCTCCCTGGCTGTGGTTCTCACCTGAGACGCACACTCGGGAGAAACGAACGTGATAATTTCGGAAGTAATGGTGAGAATAGGCCCATACGCAATGCACACAACATTTGTGATTTTTCCTACAGAGATAATTCACAGAACCCTCATCTTTAACCGGGATGCTAATAAGCTTCTACGAACTTCGTCTGCATGCAATGACTGTTATTAAATAGATGCGTCAGTCCGTTATTCAACAAAGAAAACTTTGAAGTAAGCCATCGGGATTAAGGTAAATTATTCAAACTCGAATGCGATTGGCACTCTTCATCATCATTTGCTCTTACGAGTGGCTTTGGACGATCTATTTTTCATGCTCTTTCTATTCACGGTCATTTCCAAATGCGGGTTGCATTACCGAAGTTGTATTTTTTAACATGATGCTCTAGAGATCAAAATTTTGTGCTCTCCCATTTTCGACAATTTAATACGGCTGGGCATCATCATGTGCCGGAGAATGGTCAAAAAGGTACACAGAAATTTAACGCCCAATCCACGGCCAAAGCACTCCGTACACAAGCGCACAGGTGGACATCTATGATCAACCGAGACAAACGAACAGCCGCCCGAGAACCGGTGTGGGCGTGTAGCAGACACACCGGTTGGTTGACAGTGGATCGGCCATCAAATACGGTGACAAGTGAATCATATATATAGAAGCTTGTAATTGCGCTAATACACAGCTCTTTCTGGTCGTCTTCTTGTCTTCTGACTATAACCCAGTAGAGTCAGGGCAGGTGCAGAGATACAACGGTGGCGACGGGTTACCTTCATTTCGAAACTTAATCATGGCAGTCAGTTTCGAACAAACGCAAGCCCTACTGCTACAGCAACAAGCGCAGTTTGAAAAATATCGAGGAAAGTTGATCAAGACATTGTCGCAAATTTTTTTCAAAGCAGGCAATCAAAATATCGGCAGCACCAGATAGTGTTCCTTCACCTGAGACTCTGACGCAGCATATCAATCAAGACCCGGACAATCAAGGCAACGGTAATCAAAACGACGGTCAAAATGATTCAAACGGCAGCCAAGACAAAGCAAGCAAGACTGCGGAAGCCATGCTGGCTGACAATGATGCGGATGAATACGAGGAATACTACTCGTATGAAAAAGGCCACGTTGGAGCCCACCAGGAGACTTCAAGCAAGCTAGAGAAGCTGAATGTTGACGCTGAAGATTTGCCTTCGTCAGCGGAAACACAAGACAGTGACAGAATTTCCGTTGAAGAGCCAATCAACCCGCCGAAGGTGAATGAACCAGAAACATGAGTCCATGAAATGATTCCTGTTGAAGGGCCAATCAACCCACAGAATGTGGATGAACCTTGTCAAATGACGGCAAAGTCACCCCCAAAATGTCTAGAACAACCATGGCCGAAAAGCAAGAATCCGTGGGAAAGAACTCACTTGGATTATGCAGGTACAACCAATGATCAGTCGTATCCAATTCCGGTGGATTCATTCAATAAATGGCCAGTTGTGTACATGTTGCGCAATACTACGCCACAGTTTACTATCGATGAACTGGTTGCAGTGTTGCAATATATCGGTAATCCGGAGCTGATTGTGGCCGACAATGGAACACGATTCACTTCAACACACTTCAGACAGTTTTGGAAAGAAAATGGTAACGCGGAAACGTTTTCACCGCCTAATCATCCTCAATCCAACAGACAGGCTGAACGATTCGTGGATACATTTAAGCGGGCTCTATTTCAAGTGGAAGGAAGGAAGACAAGAGAAGTGTAGGCCACATCTCTGTTTACGCCACTGTGAATCAAGCAAACAAAACAGTACTGTCTTGGGCAAACGGCGGTTCGCCATAGGCAACACATTTCCAAACCAACGAAGCTTCCCGTGCTGGACACATTATACAATGGAAGTGCCGGTTGCACAATCTAAAACGCGTTTTCTAATTCGCTCACTACGGATTCGCCGACGCCACGAAATGTGCATCAACATTATAAAAAAAATACCACACAGTGAAACTGCTGTTCAGGAAGGCTGTAAGGATTGCAACGAACTGCATTTGTATTTGATGAAGCATGATGCATCTCCAGTATCGCTTACCAGAGTCATGAAACGTAAAAACCCATGTATTTATGATGAAATATCGGTGAGCTAGTCGAAATTTTAA